GTGTGTGTGTGTGTGTGTGTGTGTGTGTGTGTGACGTTGAGATTTAAAATAGTTTACCACCTCTCAGCCTGTTGTATCTTTTTCTGCGACACGACTCAAAATGACCCGAAAACAGCTGAGATTTTTATCAATCTTTAAAAAAAAATAGACAATTCATAGACTAATCAATAATCAAAAATAAGTGATAGTAAATATGATCTTTAGTTTTAATCAAGTGATATCAATTGAGTTTCAGCCTGGAACTGGAGATGAAAGAACCAAAGAGAAATCCTGCATTCCAATCTGGGAATTTCAAGTTTGCAAGACATGGGTATCCATCAATCAGGGAAGGTCTGACAATAGATGTTAACAAGTTGCATTAAGGGAAATATAAATTCAGTGTTTCGGCAGTTTGAACCCATACTAGAATAAAGTCAGGATATTTTAGTTTATTCAATTTTGATTTGATTTTTATTTATCTGTCTCATCTCCCCCCTAAATGCAATATTCAATTGCCAGATTACCTCTCTGGGCCAGACAACTAAAACTGCAGAGTAATAACTCCAGAGTGGACATGGTGCAAAGAGACCCAATGGGAATCAAACCACAGCCTCAAGCTGAGATGAGGAGCAGGTTACTAGAGCTTTACATTTGCAGAGTGAAGTCAAATTTGGAAATCTGAACATCCACATCCTTGTTCAAAAGTCTCCTCTCATGTTATCTGGTACATCCCTTCTCTGTAAACGTACTTCTTTCAAACTGCACAACTGTACACTATTTTCTAATGTGAAGTTTCCAGACCGAAATGTGTTGCTGACTCAAGTGACATCACTTGAGTCGGCAACTTATATTCAATTTATATTTATAATTTCATGATGTGGAGCAACAAAAAGTTTTCATAACCTTTTCTTTCATATTTGCAATAGAACTTCAAATACTGGAGTCCCACTTTAAGGGTTCAAGCTTTTTGAAGTGTTGATTGAGGATTTTCTCTTCACTGGAAGGGACAGAGGTGATCTCATGATGGCCAGTGAGGCCCAGAAAACCCATTCCTGCCTCTTTTTTAAAGCTGATCCTCAACACAACTTACGCAACGTGTGATTATGTAAGACAAAATGAGTCTGTCTGCGATGTGACTGGATTACAGAGTGGAGCTGAGAGCAGTCTCTAATGTTAAGTTGTCCTGTGGAACAAGTGTTACTGTCTCACGTCCGCGGACAAAGTGAGGGATGAAACTTGACTGTGGTGGGAGGAGATTAAAGATGGTTAAGTGAGGAGCAGTAAAGCATTAGAGGAGGGGGGGATTTTCCAACAGGTCTGGAAAGTTTAACAGAGCGTGTAGCTTTAACCATAAAAGTCAAGGAGGTGGAAAAAGAAATGGACAGAGATTAAAGTGGCCTTCACATGAGTCTCCTTCATATCTACTGCTGCTCCCCTGCTCTAACTAAAACAACCCAAAGTGAACAGAAGTTGACCTGAGATGTTAAATAATCTACAGTATACGCATAAAAAATGCACATTTAGTTACTCTATCACTGACTGCTAGAACACAATAGTGATTCAACCTACTGCCAGTCTTTAAGAAGCTTTTCCTTTTGCCGCTCCGCACACTCAAGTGTCAGGTTGGTCTTTCCAGGAGAAAAGTCCACAAGCTCAAAGAAAAGTGTTTTTCATATTTCAGCAGCAGCGACAGCAGTTTGCTCAATAGTTAGAGGAGGACCCGACAGAAGCTCAAACAGCATCAATCAGAGGTAAGAAGACCGCACAGTGCCACTCATAGCAATATATGCACAGGTGGACTCTGGGAAGTACAGTGCAGAATTACCACAGCAACAAGCACTTAGCACCAAAAACTGAGAAATGCGAATGACGGATCAGGTACATTAGAATTTTAACTGTTAAAAGGAGGAATGGTCTCACTGCACACCATATGTAGAATTTGAGGAATCCCAGGTGAAATGCGTCTGTAGCCAGTTTCTGTCTGTACTAAGGCCGTGGCATTAAGCCACAGATACAATGGACAGAGAACAGGACAAACTAACCCTCCTAACAGTGTCATCCCTCTTCTGACCTTCATTACCAGCGATGTTTTTGGCTCGTGTGACGGACAGTAAAGCAGGTTTTAATCAGTGATCTCTACCCAAACTCAGACTGCTGCACTCACTACAACTGGTTCAGCTGCCGAGGGAAAGCAAGGCGTCAGGTTTATAGAGATAAATTAAGAACATACACAAGCATACTCTCACATACACACAATGAACTCATGGAAGTTTTATAGTTGTTGAGCTAGAGTTGTGACAGATGTGGAGCCAAGTCTGGAGGAATAAAAGAGCAACTGTGCTTGTTGCAGAAAAAGGATGCCAGGTAGACCAAGCAGTGCTCCATTGGCAACTGGCTCACTGAGAAGAGTTCCCACCATAAAACCTGTTACACCCTCCTGCTCATCATCTCGCCTCATCCTCTTATCTCCTCTTATTCTGGGATCTGCATGGCCATTACTGCAGGTTTGGTCTTGAAGTACTGGTTGAAGCGAAGCACAGCGTATCTGCAACAAACATAAAAATAAAAATCCTATTTGTCAGTTGATTAAACAACAGTTGGAAGGACCGATTGCTCATTAAAATGTTTTCGCCCCAAGTAGAAACTAGTTAGCCTAGCATGCTAGGTTCCACCAGTTGCAGCCTGTCAAATTGGGGCGCTGGGGCACGGACAGCGGATTAGTGTTGGTTTATGTTTCTTTAAATCTATTTGGTCGAGCTCAACACCATCACTGAGATACTTTCACTGCAAGATGACCGGCAACTGGCGACTTCGGGTGGAACTGCTACAAATCCAATAATTTCTTAACAAAAACACCCTCTCATATGAAAAAAGAGAGGATAAAGGAGCTTGGTACAAACCAACCACAGATTTACAGATTCAGCAGCCAGCAAGTGATCGAGGACGAGCTTACACCCGGGGCTTCTCTCCTCTTGTTATGAGAAACAGAGTTGACTGACTGGATGTCATGTAATGTCATGCATGTAAGTCATGTCTTTTATTGCTTTCCCTGTTTGCTATTTTAAAGAGTCTGCACAGACGTACTGTGGATAACGACGGGGGTGTGAGACCTAAAATATCTCTCTGAAAAATGCAAACGCCATGACAGTTCCCACAGTCACTTAGACACAATGAGGCCACATTTTTGCAGCGATGAAGGCTACAAGAGTGGCATATTTTGTGTTGTGTTGGTTTTGTTGAGTCTAGTTTAAGTTTGTTTGTCCAATACATTTTATCACCAGTCGCCACTTGTTTCCACCTATCATAGTGGAATACAATCGTGCACATAAAACGTACTAGTTCCCACAAGGAAAATGTATTATAGTTAGTTTAGCTTGCTAACGTTAACCCTGATTCACACCAGACTATACTCTCATTCATGTAATTTTAACATCTGCTGAGTCACTGGTAGTTCTCATACATTCATTGTTTTGTTTGTCTTAAATTATAGAAAGGAGGATAACTATCTAGCATTAGCTGTCTCTCCTGCATGGGTCCAGTTGTGGAGTACAGTAAATCACCAAACAGTCAATACTCTTTTCGTTTGAATGCATTCAGGATAAAATAATTTAATAATTAGCTTTACCAGACAATGAACCTCTTTAGGACCACTTCCTCTCTGTAAATCACTAGTGGAGACAAACCTGGGCTGCGTCAGAAAGTCCAATTAATCTCCTTTTCAAACCACTATTCCTTGATCCTGATGCAAAATGTCTCCACTCACCCTTCATTTTTTTTTTTTTCAAAGTACAGTAACTGCATTTGTAGCAGGAGATACGTGCAGACCGTGCAGTTCAGTGATAAAGGAAAGTTATTGCTGTACTTTTAAAGAAAAGTTTAATATGCTTGTTTTTTAACTTGACTCCAGACTGGACAGATCAGGAGCTCAGATGATCATGTGACGATTTCCGTTCTGAATCTTATCATGAGAATAAAACTGTTATTTTATTCCTATATACACTTGGACCTGCCCATGTGCAACTACAAGGTTGCATCACTTTTTTATGTTGCTGCCAAAAATGTCTTCTTCTTTCCTTTCGTATAGGATGGTCCTGTGTTTCCCATGCTTAAGGAGATAAAATAGGAACAAATGAATTGAATTTGAACAGCTCTTATCATGAAGGCCTCTGACATACTTCCAGGTCCTTTCACTCAGTGAGGAACCTTCCTAAGAAATGGACAATTTGACTCTGGTGTCTTATTGTTACCGGAGTGTGGGCAGGAGGTGTTAAGCTGAATGGACGCTTATAAGGGAAACGAGAGACAAGCTGACTTTGGGTTTTTCAGTTTCAACCTTTCATTAAGTTCTGTTTTACCCACACTGACAGATTCTTTTCAGACAAAGTCTAAAATGAACTTGATGTAAGCAATACTCTACACAGGGGGCACCACACAGTCACACACACTTACCCAAGGAAGTCAAAATCGATGGAGGAGTATTTTGCCTGGATGAGTGCCCAGAAGCCCCAAAAGAAGTGAGAAGCCTTGTGGGAGACAAATCAGATATCAGGTGTGGTCAAGTCATGTGAGACATAGGGTGCGAGCGTGTGTTTGCCAACATTTTCTTCCTCACCAGAGCAAACTTGTTGACCTGTACGTAGAGCGTCTCCAGCTCACGCGGGCTGACCTCCTCTGTCTTCTTGGTGAAGAGTTTGTAGGCCTGCAGGTAAACTTTGAGCCAGTCCATTTGCATTTCCTGACTGGGGTACAGCCCATAGTCCAACTCTGCCATACCTGATCACACAAAGTTGTGTAAGAAGCTATACTACAGTATATGGATTTATGATTTACCCTCACAGACAAATCACGCTGTGGTTCAACAAACCTGCAAACTCGTTGAAGTGGTTTCCGATGTCGAAAGCCTGGTAGTTGTAGCTGGAGTATTCATAGTCTATGAACCGAACATGACCTGAAAACACATCACATGTACAGAGTATTAAGATTTAAGTGCTTGAATAAACTTGGTATCTTCACTCCCAAAAAGCAACTAAGAACACATTTAGTCTGAGAAGGGTGCAGCTTTAATCCTAGTGAGGAAAAATGGAATGCCCGACTTCAGAACTCAACTAACTGTTGATGTTCCGATAAGGGTGGCACCCAGTGGATGTCCTAACAACTCATGCATTGACAGTTTTAGACTATAGCCAAGTTTTTAGACATTAAATGCAGAACATTTATAGAAAAACAGGTCCTAACATTTTCCAGAGATTGCATTTCACGTATTAAGAATGCAGAAACTTTCTGGAACATTCTTAATACTGGGTTAAGCATGCAGAAGGCAGGACATAACTTTGATGCCCTTTACAAAATCCCAATTGTTCGCTGTCCTGGTTCCTAAATGGTGGAACGAGCTCCCCATTGACATCAGGACAGCAGAAAGTCTTCATATCTTCTGCCGCAGACTAAAAACACATCTCTTCTGAATACACCTTGGTTAAGAGGATGGCGTTCAATAACCATTGTCAACTATCAAAAATATATTATATATATTGCACTTACATGTAGCACTTGTAGTTTGGCTTTTTTTGGTACACGGTTGAATGCACTTTGGAAGTCGCTTTGGATAAAAGCGTCAGCTAAATTATATGTAATGTGTAACTCCACATCGCAGATACAGTATCTGTATGACGTTTAGTGCTGCAGTGTGATGAGATCACTCTGTTTGTTGTTGATAAACAAATCTGCAATGCCTTTTTACCATACCCACCCTCTTTGCTGTTGTGTATGATGTTCTTGCAGAGCAGGTCATTGTGGCAGAGCACCACAGGGGAGCCAAGTGTGGAGAGATGCTCCTTCATCCACACCATCTCCTGCTCCAGCACAGCCTTGCTGGGAACCTCCTGCTGGATCCTGGGCAGCGAACACAGAGACGTTTCAAGAGAGAAGAAAAGGTCAGCACACTTCAGGTTCTGCAAACACAACACTGGGCCCTGTGTGCATGGTAAAGGAAAGTGACAGGAAAAAATCTAAGTATTGTGGATTTAAATAAACCACCCTTCATTGTTTTGGTATTGTTACTGAGCAGGAACAAACTATGTGGGATGAGATCGACATGCACTGACAATGCACAGGCTCTGCGGGGCACTGCCCAGCTGTTCTCCTTGGATCACAGTGACATTATGTTGGACCTTTTCCAACTGTGTGCATGTCACAGGCCCAGTGAACGTTGACGTGTCAGATTCAGTTCACCTTTGTCTGTCTGACAGTCGTATAATTGGCTAGTCGAGAAATGGTTAAGTCACAGAGTCAGAGTCTTAGCCAACCAGGCCGGAGTGCTGAGCAGAGATCCCTGTGCTAACTGTAATGGGCTTATAAAACTTAATCCACGGTCACAGTCAGCCTGATAGCAGGAGATGAGAGACAACAGAGAGGGAGGCTGGGTATACAAACGCACAAACGGAAAACATTACATAGTTTCCTGGAGACTTTCTCTAATCTTAATAATAATAATAACAATAATTATTACTACTACTATCCTGACTCCCTCCTTATAGTTAAAAAGATCCTACAAGGAACTTTTCATTATTGATGATTTTAGCACATCTGTGGACAAAGGCTGTAGTGTTTCCACTGTCACCTGCTGTAAAAACCTTGGTCCAGAAAGTATGTGTAATTGTTTGTTGAAGGATTAAAATAAAAGAGAAACTAAAAAGACAAATGTAGCGAGTTTAGGACACACACTAAGAAAACCATGACACTGCAGCACTCATTAGTTATTAGTTAATAATATAATATGTATTACTTTAAATACTCTTCTCAGACCACTGTCGAAAATAAAGATACATAAAATATGAACCCATTTGTCAGTAAAGACAATCTTGTAACAATATTATAACTGTAGCCCGGCTAGCTTCCCTCGCCTCTGTTTCCTCTCCATCTGCCTTAACATGGACTTTTCCACCCCGACTATCATAAATTGTTGCTCTGACTTCATGGGTAAACCGTCCCGGTGAAAGAATTGAGAATAGTTTATAGAAAAGGCACATCTTCTCACTGATTGTCTCATTTGCTGTTGTAGGTCATAAAAAGGCGGCAATATTAAAATAAGACCTTTTCATAACTAGTTAACACCATGTAGGGGCTTTAAATTATTCATTTTATGAGGAATTGCTTTTTGTCCTCATAAGCAAGATAGGACTCGATTCTATGACTATGTAAAGAGATTTAGGTCTCCACAGCATTAGTAATGCCTAGACAACACACATCCTCTCCTCAGAGTCTTCCTGACTCGCTGCCTCACCTTTACCTGCTGCTCCTCCCAGATCATTCACCGGGAGGAGCAGCATTCACTCCCTGTCTCACACAATTATAGCACAGACGTCATAATGCTGATATGAGGGATGTAACCAGTGTTTAATGTCATCGCTAATAAAAGAACATGGTATTACACTGGAATATCACACGTCACACAGACATCTGCCGGTTCTTTGCAAAAGCCCATTAAAATGTGGGTTTTATACGCCGTGCTCCAGACGGTGTTGTAACAAGTGTCTGCTGTCCAGGAGTTGGGCAATCGAGCTGTCTGTGTTACCAAGGAAGAGAGGAAAGTGACCTGATACACAGAGCTAAGCAAACATCTGCTGGCCCACTGCATGCCTCAGACTCCATAATCCAGTGGCCTGTTACTGTTACAGTTATATAAGCCACATGTTGGACTTAATCTAATAGCCAACAGAACAAAGATATCAGCTGTGACTGGGCAGCTGGCCCGGTTATGAAACTGTCCACCTTTGTCCACAGGTTCAGTGTCAAGATACAACGTGGCCAATCTTCAGCGTGAACTCCAATTAACTCTACAGTGTCTGATCAGAAAACAAACTAATTATCATCAAGTGTTCCCTGCCAATAGCCAATATTAGCATTTGCAGCTGTCTACTCATAAATTTGCCAGAAACATTGTGTGGTCAGCATTACACTTTATTTCTTCACTTACAAAGTGAAGCATTGCTGATGTCAACTCTTGTCTTGCTTTTATTCCTATCACCTCTTTGCTTCTACTGAAGTTAACTTTCTATCCTCGAGGGGCGTATTGTAACCCTTTGGCTTGTAAATGAAATGATGACTGAAGTTGTTGGCAAGTGACCATCACCATCACCATCACATGTTGATAGGTACAGCACTTTTAACTTCAAAATAACAAGACTACAAGTCTAGACAGCCACGCTAGCAGGTCTGCTAGTCTGAACTTATGTATAGTAACACTATGTTTTCAATGCAAATATGCTAACTACATAAGCCCCCACAAAAGACAATGGTTTGTCCATTGACGATGGCTGACAGGCATCACGATGTTGAGCCAACATTGTAATAAGATCATTGTGACAGGATTACGACATACAAGATAAATGGGATAAATAAATGCATGATGGTATATGTTGCTCAGCCACCATCAGTTTTACACTACTTTTCACAATGCACTGTAGGATACAATAATTCTATATAGGATATAAAAAAATGCAACAAAATGCTCACAATATAGTGATTAGTGAGTGATTTCAGCAGTCATCATCTCTTTTCAAGCTTAGGTTTGGAGACTTTGAGATTGGCTAGTTTTGACGGCTAGATAATTACACGTTAACTTCATTTGATCTTTTTTGAATGGAGAGAGTACCTGTGTAACATCTGCTCCTACAGAGCTGCATCACGTTTAGCTTTGATGTTGCTAAGCCAGAGAGCATCTTGTCATTGTGCTATAATGCAACCTGAATCTCTCTCCAACCACATGATAGTTCATAGTACATGGGGTGGTATTTTGTGTCAGGTTGGGTTGAGGTAATTGATAAACACATTTTTGAGGGTTGTGTGGTGCAGACTGGCTTTCATAAAAGGTTCGGCAGGACTCCAGATCTGACCTGATGTTGGAGGCTTGCTCTGTGAACTCTGTGGCCACAAGAGAGAAGTATTTCCTCATCTTGATCCAGAGGTTGGGTTTCGGGATGCAGCCGTTGTGTGCATGGATTGCATGGATACGAGCCATCTCCCTGGCTATCATTCTGAGAGCGCACACACACACACACACACACACACACACACACAC